ACTCTTATGCATAGAGATAAGCGCATCTATGACCAAGCCCATGAATTATACAGAAATTATGTACTTGTGACTGATGTAGTTCAAAGTTATTGCACATATACTTGACTGTTTACTATGTATGTTTGCAGGATTATTTATAAACTTTGTATAATCTTAAAAAAATCTTAAACTTTTTACAAAACATTTTTTATAAGTATGCCAGCTTACAAGGTAAAAATAAAACAAAGCTGTTTGCCTGATAGTTGATAAATGTAGCGTTTATATTAGTATTTGGTGAGTTTTAATCTTTTATTCTTAATTATTTTTATGGCAGGCATATAAATTATCTTGAGTAGACTGGCTCTTTTGACTACATTACTGTTAAGTTCTGGCCAAGTATTGGAAGCGTAAGTAAATATTACATACACCAGTCCTTGGTAGCAGATGTCATAGACCACCATTAGGGGAGCAAATTTTGTGTTTTCTACCTTAGACATGTAATTTACAGGTACTTACTCAGTACTCTTCCCTGAATAGAGCTAGTGTCCAAAGTATGAAAGGGGAGCTTATTCGTGCCCTCTGTTTCAACCCACAGGGTTATGTGTCCCTACATTTAAAAAAAAAACAAACTGCTTTATTGTGGAAAAACATTATACAAGAACAGAAGTGGCCAGGAAAGCATAATAAACCTTCGTGACCCATCACCCAGCTTCAAGAATTCCCAAGCCATAGCCAAGGTGGTTTTATCTTTATCTCCCACATTATTTTGAAGTAAATTTAAAATCTGTAAATATTTATTATATAGCATCTTTATCTTAATTTCCTCATTCATCCTCCCTCCCCTAAGGTAGTATTGATGAAAGAAAGTAGTAAGAGCACTTTTTATCAATACTATAAGCAGAATTGTTTATTTACAAATTACACAAAAGAGAGCTAAATTATCCCAAGGGAGTTACATACAGGGGAAGAATGACTTGTTTTTTAAGGAAAATCTGTAGCCTTTTACCAATAAGCTAGAAGTTTATAAGCTAGAAGGATAGGGGCCCGGCACAGTGGCTCGCACCTGTAATCCTAGAACTCTGGATGGCCGAGGCGGATCGCTTGAGGTCAGGAGTTCAAGACCAGCCTGAGCAAGAGTAAGATCCCATTTCCACCAAAAATAGAAAAATTAGCAGGGCATCATGGTGCATGCCTGGAGGCCCAGCTACTTGGGAGGCTGAGGCAGGGAGATCCCTTGAGCCCAGGGGTCTGAGGTTGCTGTGAGCTAAGATGATGCCACTGCACTCTAACTTGGGTGACAGAGGGAGACTCTTTTTTTTTTTTTTTTTGAGACAAACACTAAAAGGTCAGTAGCACTCTGATTTCTTGTTTGCTTCTGCATCCCATTTTTCATGAGAAAAAACTTACCAATGTTTAGATCAAGGAACTAGGGGTGAGCATGAAATACTGGGCTTAGAGTTGAGTTCTAGGACTTGACTTTAAAAATTCCTACTAAAAACTTACTTAAAAACAGTACAGTGAAAGCTGGTTAAAAGCACTTTATTGATTACAATATCAATTCACGGCAACATTATTTCACAAAGCTACTGTACACATAAAGAAATGAATCACTGTATGAAAGATCCAAGAATACTGTTAAATCATGGTACAAGTCCATAGTTTGTTTATATGGTTTAAAACTTGTAAGAGCTTTAATCTAGCATGTTTACCTTTCCCATAATTAGACATACCACTAACATTCATAGTCAATTCGCCACAAGTATGTAGAAACCATTCTAGGCGAAGGAAAACATTTTCAGAATGTTTTAACAGGAAAATATTTTAATCAACTTTAAAAACACACTTAGATGTGAATGCCTTTGGATAAGAAAATGCAAATACAAGTATCCAGATGCTTCTTTGAAAAGAAAATAGGATAGAGCACCATTGCATAAAAGACAGAAAAGGTCTGAAATATCTACCAAGTATATCACCAATGAAGTTCTAAGTAATTAAGAAATAAATACTGTATGATGTAAGATTTTATTGGGTACATTTAACACCAGTTGAAACATAAGTTTTCTTCCATAATGCTGCATTATAACTACTTTTTACAAAATCAGTAATTAGATTTAGGAAAACAGACGCAGGAAATTTTACCAACATGCAAATGTTTCCTAAATACAAGGTGTACCATCAATTTGTGATTAATAAATTACTTTTTAAACAAAATGCTAGCTTAAACATTCTACTATAAACCATTTTAATGAGTCCCTATTATTGTAACCAGTATTTTAAAATATACACTGAATGTGAGGCAATTCAAAATGAACAATAGAAGGAAAACTAGTACATCTGAAGTATACTTCACATTCTACTTAATCGGATTCAAAAACAGCAATTTGGGCTGGGCTCAGTGACTCACGCCTGTAATCTAAGCCTTTTGGGAGACTGAGGCAGGAGTATTGCTTAAGCCCAGGAATTTGAGACCAGCCTGAGCAACATACTGAGACCCCTTCTCTAAAAAAAATAATTAGATGGCTATAGTGGCATGTGCCTGTAGTGCTAGCTACTTAGGAGGCTGGGTCAGGAGGATCATTTGAGCTCAGAAGTTGGAGGCTGCAGTGAGCTATAAAGGTGCCACTACACTCCACCCTGGGGGACAGACCGAGACTCTTGTCTCTAAAAAAAATAAAAATAAAAGAACAATTTTATTCATTGTGCTATTATCCATAAGAAAGATGGTCTAACCTGTGAGTGTTTTTAGAAAAAAAGAGTTAAGAAATGATATAAATTTTTGCTTCCCACAATTGCAAAAGGGAAAGAAGTTGAACATAGTACTAAATTTAAAAAAAAGTTTTTTAAGCCTGACTCAGGCCCTGAAGATTTTAGAAAGAACATCTTCACTATTAAAATGATACAAGCCCACTGGGGGGACTGTTTAATCAGTTTCCCTAAGTTTAACACATCAACAATGAGCCATGAGTATTCAATTGCATTATAATTTGATATCTGAGACATTCACATCAAAGCATAAATTTCCCTGATCATTTCAAAACACTTAAGATCTTATTATTAAATCTAAAATATCAAAAGTGTTGGAGGAGCTCAGTTGTATAATATTGGCATAGTGATTTTAAGCAACAATAAAAGTTTCATTTTCTCAGCTGGAGAAGTCAAAATCCATTTTTCTTTTAAAAGGTTAACTTTAAAATTCCTTAACATATTCTGGAATCACCTACATCCATTATTTCAAGGATACGATCATCATGTAGTATTAGTCAGTTCATCTGAGTCTCAATTAAAATGTAGATAATTACTCTCTTGCTGTTGAGATACTAAGTCCAAATCTTTGCCCGTGTGAAGATGGAATTCAATAAGTGTAATCACAATTAAAAATTTAAGCTAGGGAGGAACCTTGGATATTCAGTCTCAATCTCTAACAATATAGCTACCAAAAATGAGACCTGTCCATCCAAGTGGATGAGATACCCCTGTTGATAGCAAGAATTGGTTTCTTTTTTTTTCTTTGAGACAGGGTCTCGTTGTGTCACCCTTGCTAGAGCGCAGTGGTTCATCACAGCTCACTGCAACCTCAATCTCCTGGGCTCAAGTGATCCTCCTGCCTCGGCCTCCCAAAGTGCTAGGATTACAGGCGTGAGCCACGGCGCCTAGTCAAGAATTGCTTTCCTGAGTGGGTTTTTGGGTTGATTTGCTAAACCACATGGTGATCACATTTTAGAAAAAAATATGTAACTCGAAATATTCTTGCCAGGTCTCAAAAAACTACTCTTTTGAATGTGCTATGAAGAGTCTACAGGTCAACCTGCTGAGGCACATTATGTTTAAATATTCCTTATAAAGTAAAGAAGAAAAATTAATTGGGACCAAATAAATGTAATATTTATGATGATACAAATTCTTTAAAACTAAATCCAGCCATATTTTTTTAGCCTTGAAAAACTAAGATCCAAACTACACAACGTCTCTACAAACTATATACTCTTAGTGATTTCAGGAAGTCTTATGCACAATAACAGAATTAAATAGACAATCAGCTCAATTCAAACTGCAAGTAAATTAAGTATATTTAGCAAGTGGAACTGCTATCACCAGAAAGCAAAGGTTTAACTAGTAAGTTAATTAATGTGATAGTGAGGTTATCTGTCACCATTTGGTCATATGTATAATTAGCCACAAGTGTTCAATAGAGGTTTTCAGTTGCCTAGTACATATTTAATTAGGGGAATTGCTTTAAACTCCTCCACACAAACTTTAATAACATTAAAATGTCATTTTAAAATATGTTAAGACTGTAGAATTCTTGTGTTCTGTATGCCTCTCTGACTAAAGTATCTTGTTACTACAATAACTTTTAAGTAGAGGAGATGCTCTCACATATATGAGATTATTTTATATATAGTTGAAGTGCTTTCTTGAACAGTATTTTAGGATGAATTTGGTGAACTACATGGCAAACTTCAATCCCTCCCCAACTATTCTGGAAATGATGGTTCCTTTAAAAAAATTTTGCCTTATCTCAAAGAGCTGCTCTTTATGAAGTGACATAAATAGTCCACAAATAAACATTAATAGAAAAAGGTCATAGAAATCTTAAGCAAAATACAAATATACATTCATAACTGCCATTACAATATTCTGTTTTGGTCCTGTATCTTAATTTGCTTTTATCCTTTTTATTCTAATTGTCAACTGACCTTTAATAAAACTGATACTGACTTCATTACGTATTAGCACATTCACAACATAAAAGTGAAAATTTACAGGTAAAATTTGGGAGTATTTAGGTTAGGGTTACAGTGATCAAAAGTTAACACAGACCTATTTGGGCTGGGCTCACACCTGTAATCCTGGCACTCCGGGAGGCCGAGGCAGGAGAACTGCTTGAACTCAGGAGTTCGAGACCAACCTGAGCCAAGAGTGAGATCCCATCTCTACTAAAAATAGAAAAAAGAAATTAGCCAGGTACGGTGGCATGCACCTATAGTCCCAGCTACTTGGGAGGCTGAGGCAGGAGGATCACTTGAGCCCAGGAATTTGAAGTTGCAGTGAGCTATCATGACGCCATAGCACTCTAGCTCGGGGGACTGAGTGAGACTCTGTCTCAAAAACACAAACAAAAATAAGCCCCCCAAACAACAAAAAAACACAGACCTATCTGAAGAGTAACTTACTAAGTTACAAAACATGATGCACTTCTATATAGCAGAATAACCATGACTTCACCATTAAGCAAGACTAACAATCTTCTATTGTTTTTAGATTTATTTGCAAGAGAAAATCCAGGAGGAAAACTATCTTTGTTTAATTGGGGGGGGGTGGGGGACATTTTAGTAATAGACACATTATTATACCATTGACAAGTAGAGGAATTGCTTAATATATTCCTCTGACTCCTATAAGAACTGCTTTAGGAATTTTTCTTTTGGCTTTAAAGTGGAATCACTTAGATCTAGGCATTCTTTGAAGCAAAACCACTTTAGAACCCAGTATTTTGTGCTAAGGGAAGAAAATTACAGAAGAACAAAAAGCTTAAATGTTTCATTTTAAGGAATTTGAAGGCACATATTTTACATCAATTCAGATTTTATATTACATGAACATAAAACTCATAAAGCCACCTTATTACAACAAATCAGTACTAGCGATTGGTTAGATTTTACTTCTTTCAAAATGTAACACTGTCACACTATATTTTCTATCTAGTAGACACTGATAGAGAACACTGGGAAAATTCTTCAGATGCAGGGTCAATCCAAGTGTTTATCGAACTTCTGAAATACGAGTATACTCTATAAACTTAGTTCTAGAATGTGAAATCAATAGGAAAGTCCAACTATTTAAAGGGCTACCGAAAGTGTCAATTGATCAAAACCAGGCTTTTAAAATACCAAGAATCATTTATATGCTATTATTATCTACTTTTTATGAATATAATAAATTCTAATGAAGTTCCTTGTGTATGTCTAAAATGTCAAGAGTGAAATTTCTAATCCCTGGCCTTTAGATTATCTGTCCCCTCAAAGGACTGACAATGAGCACTTACTTAGATGGACAGTATGGCAAAGGGTGTATGAGAGACTAGTGACCCCTCAGAGGCAGCCTGTCAACAGTCTTAAACATTAAAGCCATGAGGATCTCCTTTAGATTAAAAGGAATGTCAGAATTCAAGGGTACTTTCTTCAAACATAAGTACCCACACATAGAGGATTGTTTCCATCCATTACTCTGCCTGGTTCTTCCATTACAAAACACAAAAATGTGACATTTTTTGTGTATACAAAGTTAAAAATGTCGTCCTTAAAAAATTCTAACAATTATAAGCTGCTATAATACGTACATTCTGTTCTACGCAAAGAAAATAATTAGACTTTGAGTACACGCAATAATTCATCAAGGTTAAATTAACCCAACTCCTCAAATTAATACACTGGTCTTATTAATCTCAGCAGGCACTTTTGCCTTATTTTGTTTTTTTTTTTTCCACTTTTTTTTTGTAGTTTACTGAAAGCTTCTTTTTGTATATAATAATCTCAATAGAAAAATCTTCACCTGCAAATATAAGGTAGAATTTTTTTTCACAGCTATAGGCTGTAACATTGATTTCTCCAGATATCAATGGAGAACAGAAAATATGTATGACACTGTTAATTCCAGATTCTAAGAAAACTGTCCCAAGAGCCTGTAGCCACAGCCATGCCATCATCAGTTACACCTAAGCAGCTGACACGGTTGTCATGACCAGCTAGGACACCTGAAAACAAAAATTCAGTATAAAGTTAGCAATTACAGAGTTTTAATATTAAACGAGTATATGTATAAAGATCTAGAAGACTACTTTAACAGTCCAGTTTGATAGCTCATCAGTAAAAAAAATTAAATTTAAAAAGCAACAAAAATAAAAAACTAACAGGTTTCCCCAAGTGGTAAAAGGGGTATGCTGGACATGTAGATAAAAGACATCTTTTTGAATTACTTGAATTTTTGACATGTGCATCAATTTGTTTTTAATTTTTGAAAAATAATTTTATAATTAAGCTTTGTTTTATCTAGGAAAACAGATGTTGACATTTATCCCACATCTCTGATGATTTCGTGATATTCCAGATTTGGCTACTGAACTATGCTATTTTCAACAAAAATAAAATTTTAAGTGGAGTTCCGTGAAGTCGCCTTTTACAAGAGTAACAAAACCTTAAGAGGGAAGTTGTCTTATATCACCACTTCCAAAAATACCAACATAATTTGCTTTTTTCTATTAACTACCAAAAACTGGGATGTTGTTGTTTATTATATTATAGCTTTGTGAAACCATCAAACTTATCTAATTTTAGTTTCTTTTGCATATTAAAGTTAAACTTGATGTCCTGATTACTACATAGGATAAAATGAGATATTTCAATATTTGGGAGGAAAATGAGAACTTTTATAAAGATTAAAAAGAAAAACTAGAGTATATCAAATTCTCAAAAGATTTTTTTTAATATACTGTGTTTGAATTTGCATTATTTCTCTATATATGTAAGCATATCATTTTCACTCAATCTCAGGAACAGAGGTTCATCTCATCTAACTCTTAATATCCTCTGCAGTACCTCCAGTATGGCAGTTTGGCAATGGGCAAATTTACCATTATGGGTTGAAATAATAAAAAATGAACACTATAGCTAAATAGTCCAAGAAACACTGGGGAGGAGGATGAATGAGCAATTCATGAATCAGGATTCAGTTTAAGGTGAAAGTTCCAACTGAGCCAACTTAAAACCAGCTGTATGCAGCAAAGTGAAATGAAAATACAAGCACATGTTAAAAATGTGGAAAACACATTGTTATTTTGTTATGCATACTAGTTATTCAATCCAAGCAAAACACCTAATACCTTAAAAAATATTTGGCTTTGGGCAACAGAATATTTCCAAAAATCTACTTGCAAAATGTAAAACTGAACCATGCAGTTTCTTAAGAGAGGGTATAGAAAATTATTACTGGGAATGTTGATACTGCCTGTGCTCCCTCAGAAACCACGAGAACTGTATAGGGGTTTAAAAGGGTAAGGCCATAAATTCACAAGGACAGTGAAAAGATGAGAGCAAGCAATGGCAACAAAATTTTGTAAGCTGGATGGTGGCAACTGTGTTAGTGAACCCCAAAATGCTGAGTTCAAAATGAATGATCTTATAAGCCAAGAAACAATTACACTGCAGAACCTCCAAATGTGTCCCTACTAGAGGAACCAGGTATCTCCGGAACTAGGTAATGGCAAAGACAGGGTAAAGTAAGATTGCATTAGAAAGTGTTTATGAGTCAGTACGACCCTCCCAGGTGTCTTCTTCCTCCACTCTGCAGAGTCAGGTGACCAATCATCCTGCACCATGGCCTAAGACTAGAGACTTATTCACTGGAGAGGATAAAACAGGGTCTCTTGACTGGAGGAAAATACGCACAGCTGAGATTGATAAAACTGTGCTGAAAATGAGGAATAAAGAAAGTTTACTTGCTAATTGTTGTGGCCCCTGGTTTTCCTCTTGAGATGAGCCCCCAAACTGGCAGCTGGCTTATTATACACTTCAAGTAGCAGAGTGAGGATCCATCTCAGGGAAACACAGCTAGCCCAAGAAAAAAAGGCCATAAGATATACCAGAGGTTCCCAGTCAAACCTGGCCTCTCCCTTCAGTGAGGCCTATAGTCAATACACCCAGCCATGTGCACAGAGCTTCAAGCAGTTTTGGTACCTCCCTCTTAAGTATGAATAAGAAGCTTAGAATCACCAAACTAAGGAACTATTCTAAAAATAAGCACGGGGGACTAAAAAGATGAAGGGAAAAAACAATTTGGAAACATATGCTTGAAAAAGAAAACTGAAAAAAAATTCTTCACTACTAACATCAGAGAAACAAGACTTTATTACTGAAAAAAAAAAAGAGTGCCATAAAAAAAGAGAGACCAAATTAGCTCTCAAAATTAAAAAGATGATAGCAAAAATGACAACCAAAACTTAACAGAAGGGCTGAAAGAACAGATGAGGATTTCTCCCAGAACATAAAGAGAAAAAAAAGCCAGAAATGGAAAACAGAAGAGAATATAATAAAAAAGTAAAAGGACCAGTCCAGGAGGTCTTAACACCAACTCTCATTACGGAGTTCTAGAAAGAAGGAATGATAATAATGGAGAAGAAACATAATCCAACAAGCCCTCAAAATTCCTTACTACTGCAGTGTATGAGTTTCCAGATCAAAAAGGCCCACTGCATCCCAGCACAATGGACGACAATGGATCCACTCCAAGACATATTAAAACTGGCAGAAAGTCTGGGGCTTCAGTAGTGAGAAGAATGTCAAAACTGAGACTGTAAACCAAAAAATTTAGAGAATACAAAAAAAGTACATGGTGAAAGAAGTCACAGGATACCTCATGGCTCAGCAGTAAATATTCCTTAAAAGGCCATAATTACATAAACACCAAATGTTGTTCTCAACAGAATTTGCTACATGGGAAAAACTGGATGGGAAGGATGTGGCTGTGGTGGGGGCAGGGATGTTAAAGCCAAACCCTCACCGTCTGTGATATGTCAACAACAGATAATGCCTAAAAGTTAACAAATAAAATGAAGTAAGCACAATGCTGGCATGTTATTTAGAGACATAAAAATAAATAAAAGTTATAAGCAGCTGCTTTTGGGAGCCAAAAGTATAAGTTGGGATCAAAGGATTGCCATGTTTTGGTAACAAGCCATATAGAACAATTTGATTCCTTTAAGTATAATACTGAATATAATTTTGATTTTTAAAAAAAATTTTAAAAACCACTCAATGTGATTTTATTTATTTATTTGTCTACCTATCTTAGCACTATACTAACAAGGATGTAATCTGTTGTTAATGACAATCCCCAGTATGGCTTACTGTGTATTCTAACCTTGTGGAACCTGCCAGGGAGGAGACCAGGGCTGAGGAAAGACAACGGGTCTGTGTCCTGTTGCACACAAGAGTTGCTCCAGAAGGAAGACCATCCACGGCACTTACAAGTTACAGGTTAAGAAAAACTGATTCGTACAAGACCACATGGAATCATATTCACCATTCATCTTTAATACTGAAACTTACCAAACAAGAACATACTACAGAACTAAATGTTACTTCATAAAACGAAAATATAAATACAGTTTATGGACTACAACTGCACTCAAAGCGAACAGGAATGAGAACCGCTGGGTTACCATTTTCCACAGCTCCACGCTGTCCATGGAAGCCTGGAAAACTGCTGATGGGAACCTCGTCATGCTTCCTGAAAGTCAGAACTTAATACAGACCCGTTTACTAACCTGCACGATCTCCTTTTAGTGTGTCCCATACATTACAATTAAAGTCATCATAACCAGCTAGTAGGAGGCGCCCACTTTTTGAGAAGGCTACAGAAGTGATTCCACAGATGATATTGTCATGAGAATACAACAATAATTCTTGGTCTGCACGAAGGTCAAAAAGCCGGCAAGTGGCATCATCAGAGCCAGTGGCAAAGGCATATCCATTTGGGAAAAACTATAAAGAAAAGCAACAAACATTTACTCCACTGATGTAAATAAAAATGAGAGGCGGTGTAATAATAGACTCTGGGGTAAGACAGATCTTGATGCAAATCCCAACTTGGCTACTTACCAGGTAAGTGATGTTGGACACTTAAGAGTCTTAAATACTCTGGGCCTTAGTTTCAGTTTCAGAGTGTTGGTCAGGATTGAATAAAATAACATATGCAGAGTATACAACTCATCATTTAGCATACAGCAAGTATTTGACAAATACTGGCTCTGGTGTCCTATATGTCTTATTTTTTTTTTTTTTTTTTT